TATTTATTTATTTATTTATTTATTTATTTATTTATTTAAATTCCACCTTTTAAATAAAATAATTAAGCTAGCTAATTTCCCTTTTAAATAAGATCACCAGACCGCTCTTCACAAAAAGACCGTTGAATAAAAATTAACCTTAATTTCCATAAGGTATTGATAAAGGCTCTGAGGCTCTTCATATGTTGGGCAAATATAATCTGGGTTGCCATTCAATCAAGCAGATTTTAGGTAGTGTTGTGACAGTGTCTAGAGGACTGATCTGTGGGTCAATCAACTTGGAGAAGGCGGGCCTCTCGCATTAGGCAAGATGCTCCATTTACAGCCTGTTCAGATCTTCAGTTTTAATTGATAACTTTAATGAAACCACAAGAAGACATTCAGCTAATTTTAAGGTAGACTTGAAGTTTATAGACTACAAGAAAAAGACTACACAGGAAAAAGTGAATTAAGTTCATGATTTATTATTGGGACAGAGAAAGACATTTATTTGGACCAAGGTGGGTATATAATCTAATCTAATCTAATCTACTCCCAGAGGGTCATCTGTGTGATCTGTGAGAGGTACCATGCTGCTGCTGCTGAGAGAGTCAACTCCCATCCACCCCACCCCACTCCCCACACACTTGGGTTACACCATGAACCAGAAAGAACATGTGCAAATAAGAGACACTTGCCTTTCCTGATTGAACAAGACAGGGTCATTTAGTCCACAGAGCAATACAGCAGAAGGTTCCTGTCCCTCCACCACATCTCTGTGCCTCTCTGTACCACATGCCCTAGACATACAGCTTGTCGTGACCTGTTTCAGAGAGAGGTCACCAGAGTCACGGTTCTCAGCACAGTCTTGCTGCCACTAAGAAACAGAACTGTGTCCTGCAGCACAATTTCTGTATACTGTCTGGAACTTAAGTCATTATTCTTGAAGAATTCATACAAGTGATCTGTACCTTTCATTTTCTGTTAGAGGTTGTGTATAGTTGTTGAGACACATAGGGTTGCTGAGGCAAGCCCAGTACCAATCACTGCAGAGAGGGAAGGTTGAGTATTCAGGAATTTCTGTCTCTGGAGATCTGGCGTCTTACAGACTTCCCATGGGAGCCCATTAGATTTACAGAGACACAAAACTGGCCAGAATCCTTGAAATGCCAGTGACAAATCAGAATGTTCAAATGTATCAGAAATGCTAGAAGCATGAGATGAAAATTAAAATAAGCTCACCAAATAAATAAAATAAGCTCCCACCCTTAATCTAAACATAGAAAATATAAAGGATCTGCCTTTATATAAACACATGACTTTTTATAAACACATGACTTTTTAAGTTTATTAGATATATATATAATATATATATTATATATTTTATATATATATATAATTCATCACAGGGAATCTGTACCTGTACATGATATGTCTTAATTCTCCTTTTTCCCACTCACCTACCTCCCTTTCTTTCAGCCTCTCTTCCATTCCTTATTTACAAAGCTTTGTTTCCATTTCACCCTTCTTTTCCCATATTTAACTTTCCCTTCCTTCCTTTCCCCACCTTCCCCTGTCCCCGTTTCCTTAGGCACAATTCCTTCATATTTCACAATATCTATTATACATTTTGATTCTTATTTACACTTTCAGCTTCTCATGTCAGAAAGACAATGTGATAGTTGCATGTTTATCTGACCTATTTCTCTTAAGGGTTTGGTCTCAAGGTTCATCCATTTAGCTATCAATGTCTCTATCCATTTAGTTGTCAATGTCTTGGGTTTCTCCTTCTTTGTGGCTGATTGGCATTCCATTTTATATAAGAAAAATCTTTTTTGAGGGCCAACAAGATAGCTCAGTGGGCTAAGCACCCACTTTGGCAAGCACAGAGACCAGGGTTTGATCCCCATTCCTGCATGCTACTCCAGCCCAGCACCCAGGTGCGCTGAGCCGGCAGCCAACTCCAAGTGTGGTGGCACATGCCTGTAATCACAGTGCTGGGGAGGCTGTAAACAGGAGGATCACTATGAGTCTGAGCGGTGTAGTGAGACCCTGTACCCAATACATAAAAAATGAAAAAACTTTTTATCCATTCATCAGTTGTTGGACTGTTGGATTGTTTCCAAGATTTATCTATGAATTAAAAGAATCATATCACAGTGATATAGCACACTCGTGTTTATAACACATGACTGTTTAAAATCAGATCTTGAATTAACTGCAAGCTTAATTAAAAAAAATACCTACAGACTGGACTGGTAGCCCACCCCTAGGATCCCAGCACTCAGAAGGCAGAGGGAGGATTGCTATGAGTTCAAGTTCAACATGAGCATGAGCTAAGATTAATAATAACAAAAAAATGAAAATGGATGGGCCACAGAGATAGCACAGCAGTCTAAGCACCTGCCTAGGCAAGTATAGGGACCCAGGTTTGAACTCCAGTACCACATGCAGTGCCAACCCCGCCCCAGGTGCACCGAGCCAGCCACAAAGACCAGGTATGGTGGTGCATGCCTGTAATTCCAATGCTGGGGAGGCTGAAATAGAAGGATCACCATGGGTCTGAGCTGCATAGTGAGACACTACAAAATTTCAAAAAAGAAGAATGAAAATGAAAAGAGGCTGTTTAGAAGGACATGAAAGGACATGTTGGAAGAAAGAGAAACCTCTATTATGTACATGTGCAGACTCCCCAAGATGAATGTGAACATCATATACTACAAACACATACTAGTAAAAAGAACCTGCAGAATGAATCGCCTAGTAGACTGTATGTGTATCTGGGCACATATTGCACTTATAAATGTCTATATCAAACATAGCATTAACTGCTTTCTATAGATTCTTACAGTGGAAGCAATAGCTCTGGTATTTTGATTAACTGTGTCCTTTGTACTTTAAAGAGATGTTAGCCAGCCATGGATTAGTGTGACTGGAATGCTTCAAGCTCTCATGTCTGATGATAAACAAAACAGTGACAGCCACTTCCACAGATGCAATCCCTGTTCAGCATCTGACACCATTGTAGTTATTGTACCTAAAATGCCTGTGGAGTTGCATGGCTTTAACCTTAACGAATTGAGGGAAAGCTACTTTTCCCATCTCACTTTTAGATTCCACAGTGACAAAGGCTTTTGTCCATAATTTTCAAATGACAGTGAGGATGCTAATAATGATAACAACAGCAGCTACAACATAGCTAACAAATGAATTACCAAGTAACACAGAGAAAAGATTGCATGGCTCCAGAGGGGAAACTAGATCAAGTGTGTTGAAGTTATAAGATGTCAGATGAAAGCTCAAACATCAGAAAAGATTTCTGTCCTGTATTGCTGCTCAGAAACAGAACAGGAAGCCTTTTAAGGATGCCTGGCACTGTTAGCTGCACACTTTGTACCTGGGGCGGAGGTCAAGACTATACATTTATTACCAGCTGGTCAAGTTCATATTACTCTCCTCCTTTTATGCATAAGGGAATTGAAGTGCCAAGTAAACCCTTGCTGAAGTTCACAGAGCTAGAAAGTGGCAGAATTAAGGACTGCTGACACTGAGAAGCATTCTCTTTCACTAAATTGTGACATTCGCTGCCGCTGGAAGGACTCCTCCATGGCCGGTCATCAATGTCCATCTCCTAGAGCAGTAAAAGAAAGCCGGTACTGAGTCAGGGTGGGCCCCACCTCTCCTATCTTTCAAGAAGGCAGCATCAATGAGCCTGTTTGCCAAGCAGCGTACTCTCATAAGAATAAATTTTTAATAATATGCCTCATGAAACCACAAAGTAGGATCATTGACGACATATTAAGTAAATCTAGAGAGGGGAGCGGTCTGAGTGGAGGGGAGCCCACACATTCTCAGGGAGGGACACTCATAATTTCATCCTGAGTTTCATTCAGAAAGCATTTCATTGGCCTCCTAATTTCATTGCTTCCAGTCCATTTTATTTGCTCATCAGTCTACTGTATCCTGAAGATTTATGTATCACATTTTACCAATGTAGACAAAGTTCAATATATGTCAGATACAAAAGGACATATATAGGCTTTAAAGAGCCAAATACTTGAAAGCAGAGAAGAGAAGAATGGGTTGTAGATGCACCCTAGAGAATAGCCCAATCTTAGCAGGGTACAAAGAACGTTAGGTGCTCATTGTTCTGGTGACAGGGCGATCAGCCCACACCTGGCAGAGATTCTGTAGGATAAAGGTGGGAACTACAGCCTGGCAGGGGGAGGGAGAAGCCTGCAGAGGGCTTTGGGTTCTGCCCTGGCTCTCAGATCTGACATTCTGGGCATCAGAGGCCATGTAGGATTACTTGACGGAAGAGTACACAAAGGAAAGAAGTCAAGCATATAGCAAACATATTCCCTCCATGCTGGGAAGCCATAGCATAGGAAATATTACAGACTGAAAGGTGTCTTCTGATATTGCAAAGCAGATATTAGTAATAATAATGAACACTTACACAGCGCTTAGGTTGTGCCAAGCAGTGTTCCAAGTGCCTTGCCTAGAGTCGCTTATTGTTCCTAACTAAAAGCCTGTGAAATAAATACTCCTCACTCTCAACATCCCCAGCTTCAGATGAGAAAACTGAGGTCTCGAGAAGCCATTGGCCAAAAGGTCCACAGAGAAGATACTCAGTGCTGCATGGGGTCACTTAATAGTCATGTTCAAGTGACCAATGATGGTGCATTTAAATTTCTATTTATTGAGAACAGTATCTAATATTACCCAGCTGCTGAATTCACCCTTTGAGCAGATTGTTCTCAAAAGTGGTAGACAGGACAGAGTTGAGGCAGGGTTGCAGGAAGGACATCGTGGAAATCTACTCACCAGGGTTGGATGGATGTGTCTTCTTGTCTTGAACCTGAGGAATAGGGGCCAGAACATGGCAAACCCTAAGATACGTATAGCCTAGCAAAATTAAAGATAAGCATATTGATTATATCTGTGGGTGTCTTGTTTATAGACAGTATAAAGCCCTTTCCCCACATGTGGCACACCATATGTCCCTCATTCCCCACCAGGGGCTCAGGATCTGGATCGCATCCGACTCTCTACCTACAGAACAGCATGCAAGCTGAGATTCGTTCAGAAGAAATGCAACCGTAAGTACGCCAGTTGTTTGGGCTAATTACCCTGCTGTTTCCTATAGTTTACATGTGCTACTAAGTTTATTAAAATTGTGTTTTCTTACAAGTATTATTTACACAACAGTGAAAGGGAAACCATACACAAATGTTAGAGAGACTGTGTCAAAGTAACTCCAAGGACTCAGTTACTCTTAATGACTAAAGTATTGAAATGTGTGAGCTTCCAGATGAATTATAATGCTGACCTGGGAATGGTTTCCATCTGGATAGGTGTTTTTCCTATTTTTCTCTATATCTGGTACTATAAATGCAGGGTCATGAAAATAGCTTCCAAGAACATTATAAACTATGAAACATAAGTTCTCCTCATATGTGTATTTCCTTTACATGAAAATATTTACATGCTCCTGAAAAACAGGCTTCTTTCTGAAACTACAAAACTAGCCCATTTTATCAAAGCATTAACTGTTATTTACTGACATCAGACAACATGGAAAGAAATACTGCTTAAAGAATTTCAGGGGCTGGCGAGATAGTTCAGCAGACTAAGCACCTGCCTTGGCAAGCGCAGGGACCAGGGTTCAATCCCCGTACCACATGGCATTCCGGCCCAACCCCTGGGTGCACTGAGCCAGCCACCGAGACCAGGTGTGTGATGCATACCTGCAATCCCAGTGCTGGAGAAGCTAAAAACAGGAGGATCACGAGTCTGAGCTACGTAGTGAGACCCTGTACTAACTACATTTAATATATATAATATATCAATATCAATATTAATACCGATATAGATATATAGCAAAACAGGATTTTTTCCAAGCACAGGCTCTAGCTTATTCCAGGACTTTTAGGCTCTCTGCAGCAAGCTAGACCCCCAATCACCCGGGCAGTGCTGCATCCTCTGCTGGGCCAACATGGTAGTCATATTGCCATGTCCATTTTCCCTTGGAAAAAAATTGTTTCATAATTCATGTGTATAAACTTACTTTTTCTTTTCTGAAAACTGACTTATTAAAGCATTTGTAACTGTTCTTCATTTCTAATTAGTATTGGGTGAATTTTCATAAACAAAAACCACAGTGTTCTCCTGGATGTGAAAACAGAGTTGTAAAGTAACTGGTTTGGGAATTAGATTCTCAGTGAGTCCAAGGTCAGAAAGCTCCACAGGTCTGCCCAGGGGTCTTCGGCACGTGCTTCCCAAGGCCCTGGGGGACTGCCCCAGCCTCCTGGGTGTGCAGCCCATTAGGGTCGGCAATGGACAGTGTGTGTCTGTGCTGTGCCCCAACCTCTTGGCCTAGTGAGTAAGCACTGGGTGCACCTTTGGGCAGGAGTAAGGAGAAACAGTAGATTGGTCCAGTCATCAAATACACATTTTGACTCCTCATAAGAAGCCACACCAATTCAAAGGAGCAGAGAGAAAAGCACTACAATTGTTAGGAAGAATCTGTGGCTATATTTGTAATTCTGGGCATTGATGAGTCAATAAAAGTCTTATCCAGTACTGTACGGAACAAGACAACATTCCCACAGAAGGAAAGCTCCCCCTTCCCACTGTTGCCCACCAGTCATATTAAAACAAAAGAAAGAGTCTCCAAGTTTCTAGCAATCAAAGGTGACAGTATTCTCCCACCTTCCTACCACTTATTAGCATTTCAAGGACGCTCCAAAAGGGGGGGAGGGTGAGGGGAGAGGTGATAGTTCCTTCCCTCTTAAAGCTTTGCTAAGCAGAACAATTTCTTTTGCTTCTTTCAGTAGAGCTGGGGACTTCCAAAAGTACCACAGAGTGGAAAAGAATAACAATAAAATAAGGAAAAGAAAGAAAGGAGGGATGTTGGGAAAGAAGAATGCTACCTTATAATAGAGCTTTCCTATGCAGCAAGGAACCAAGGGAAAAAATAGGTACCATGTTTGTAATTGCATTTGTAACAGAATGCTCCCTGCACAAGCAGAGCCAGAGATCTCATTGGGGGAAGCTTAGCCATGTTCACTCAAGAAGGCCTCGTAGTCACAGGTGAAGGGTGTTTTCCTGAGAGTGCGCAGTTTGACACCATGCTTCATCATACATCGCATGCCCAGGAATCGTCAGGCAAGGGCCAAGGATATTGCTCAGGGGCACAAGCGCCTATCTAGCAAGCACCTGAGCTGGGATTGCAGTAAAAGAAAGAAAAAAAGAAAAAACAAAGAACTGTTGGACAAGAATTCCTTGGATGGAAAATGTAGTATCTTAATGAGGAAAATTTACTCTAGGCTGCATAAAAAAATAGCAGGGCAGGATGACATCGTGATTTTGGTTGGCTCCTCTTGTAAATTTCTCCTCCTTGCTTTATCTAAAACAAACAGCAACTTGATAGGCAACATGTAGTCACTGAACAGGGCAGCAGCTGTCTCTGGTAAACACAAGTGTCCCTTAAAGTACCTGCTCAGCAGCTAACATGTTACATAGTCCACTTTAAAAAAATGCCTGGCTGGGGAGATTGTTTGGGGGTCTAAACCCCTGCTCGGCAAGCACAAAGTCCCAAGTTCCATCCCGAGTATGGCATGCACTGCCGGACCCAGAACCCTAGGCACACCATGCTGGCCTGAAACTGGATGTGGTGGCACACCCCTGTAGCCTGGGGAGGCTGAGATAGGAGACAAGAGGAGCACTAAGAGTCCAACTGAGCAGCGAGACAAACTGCGTTGCTTATTAGCAACAGAAATCTATTTATAATAGATCTGGAAGCTGAATGGTCCAAGATAAAGTCGCCAACCAATCTGGGGTCTGCTGAGCATGATTTTTTGACCTTCAGAGAGCATCTTCTTGCTGTGTCCTCACAGGAAGGTGAGCGGCACAGCTCTCTGGGGCCTGGTTCAAGGGCACTAATCCCCACCAGGAGCGCTCTCTGCTCTTGTGGCTTGGTCTCTTCCCTGAAGTCCCTGCTCCTCACCACTACCACACTGACATCAGATTTCAACAGGTATCCAGAGAAGAGGAAACACAGAACTCAGTATAGTGCTTGTCTCATACAAATCAATGGAACAACTTAAAACAGACTGTTTATTTTTAGGCAAAGACCTCTCAGGTGAAATTTATTTTGCATATTAACAAAACTAAATTTAAAACTCACATAATGGAAGAACAAAACGTAATAACTAGCATGTATAAAGTCATCACCTAGAAAAAGAAATACTGTCCTGAGTGTTTATGTTTTTAGAAGATTTTTTTTTGTCTCAGCTTGAAGATCATAAATGTGAGTTGGTTCCTCATCATTCCTGACCCACAGCCCTGGCCTCCTGTATTTATAGCTTCTCACATAGAACATTGATTTCATGTCCATGTGCTTGGACACAGTGCCTGATGCATGCTGAGAGAAACCAATCCTCGCCTTGTAGAAGAGCTCTGAGCAAGAGGCTGAGAGAGGTGGCCTAGGGACTGACTGCAGCCTGCCGCCTCCTTCTCTATAGATTGAGACCTAAGGATAGTTGCTAGTGCTGGATATTTGCAATTCATTTGATAACAGGCAACAATAAGAGGTAACTTCAATTAAGTAAAGTGTTTCCCTCTCCCAAAAAGGAACTTCATCCCTCTGATTGGTAGGCTGGCATTTAAAAAAATAATAAATAAATAAATCTCAATGTCTTTATGTTTAAATTCATTAATAAAAACAGTATGGAACTTTTGTATATGTAGCTATTATATTTTTATTATGTCACTCTGTTCATCAACAATGTTTACTAATTCCTCTTAAAAACAAACGAACAAGGGCTGGGGAGAGATAGATCAGTAGAATAAGCACCTGCCGGGCAAGTGCAAGGGCCTGAGTTCAATCCCTGATTCCATAAAAAAAAAAAAATTAAGAAAGAAAGAAAAAGAAAAAGAAAAGAAAAAAACCACTTTGTACTCAGGAGCTATTCAGAGGACACTAATCCTAATCCCAATCCTGAAGGTTTGTAGGAGCATAGCAAGTTCAAGGCCAGCCTGGGCAACTTTATAAGAATCCTATAAACAATTTGTAAGTATGTGTGAAAAGGTAACACATCAGCCTTTATTTTAAACAAATAACCAGCTCCTGCTGAAGCATGATTTCTTTGGTCAGTGTTGCCATGCTTCATGATCCAGATACTCTGCAATGTCAGCATATACTTTTTCAGAAATTACTTTGGAGTCAATGAATTGTAGCCTTTAGTTCACCAACAACAAATCAGCCACAAAAACAATAGCCTAGAACTAATTAATCCCCCTGTTTAACAGTGAGAATGAAAGTGAGGGAGTACTCCGTACCCTCAGCTAACGTTGCCTAGCCTTAGTCCTATTTCAATTTTCATGGTCAGTTATATCATTTGAAATTTTCTTTAAAAGAAAGGTTAAAGGGTGTCTGATATTTCAGAGTTCCTCAAAATCTCATGAATTAGAGGTTTTCTTAAAATATACTTATCCAGAAATAATTTAAGTTAGAACTTATGCTTTTGTCTGTGCTAATGTCTGTAAACTTCTTTTAAGATTTCTTGTTAACTTCCCCCCCAAAAAAAAAATGCAGTTGCTTGTTTACCTAAATGTTTTTCCATCTCTGCAAAGTACCATATAGGTAGTAGGTCCTCCGTAAAGAATTTTCTATGAAAGAAGAAACATGCTTGATTAGCCTCGTTTTTCACCAGCCAGATGACAAATGCTGTGCAGTAGAAGCCAGAGCTGCATTTTGTATATTAAGCATAACTATCTCATTTATTTTTCTTCAAGCTAACATAGCAATATATTCCTGATCCTTGTTAAATATGTAGATTTTTGGCTGCTATATCAAATTTCTGTTGCCGCATAGCCAGTTCCCACAAATATATTCTGTTATAATAGTCTAACAGTCATTGTCTCCCAGTTTCTCTAGATCAGCAATCCAGTGCAGCATGACTCAGTTCAGGGTACAGTATCACACTGGGCTGGAATCACAATTCTGATTAAGTCTGTGTCCTCATCCGGGGCTCAGGATTCTTTTCCAAATATCCTGATTGTTTGCAGAATTCATTTCCTTGTTGTTGTAGGACTG